CCAGGACTATAGATGCAAATCACAGAACCCAGTCAGAATTCTTGATTAAGTCAACAGGCACTGTCTAAATTTCTGGAGCAGTGCAAATATTGCTCAGTGTTTGATAAAGCAGCCCACCAAAGCCCAGTTCCTTTCTTGCACAGTGCTTCCTTTTTGTTGAAATAATTGCTTTTTTCATTATACTGTTTTTCCATCAGTGGCAGACCACATGCTTAGTATGTGGCAAGACCTTGGGTTAGGTCTTCAGCACCAAAACAAAACAAAAAACAAGAAAAAATAAGTTTGAGCTGAATTTTTGAAGGTATGAAGTTATTAGGTGTGAGAGTGTGTTGTGAATATGTTAAAGAGCCTTATCTTTTGGGGGTATTTATTGAAATATTTCTAGATGAAATGATGTCTGGGATTTATTTCAAAATAATCTTTGTTGGAGAGAGAAAGTAAAACGAGGGTGTGTAGAAGCAGCAAGACGTGTGATGTGTTGATAATTGTTGTTAATTATTGAAGTTGGGTGATGCCATTATTATTACTCTCTCTACTTTTAAAAATTTCTGTAACATTTTTTATGTTTTGGTGCTGGGGATTGAACACAGGGCCTCAAGCATACTAGGCGAGTGCATCTGTTGCTTTTTTAAAAGTGGTATTCAGGGTAGAAATGTCTGGTATTGACAGATAATTGTAGGAAACTTAAATTTTAAAAATCATTTTCTAGCAAGGATGTATCTTTTGTGTGTATGTGTGTGTCTGTGTGTGGGGGGCAGTTTGAACTCAGGATCTACATACACCTGGAACCACTCCACCAGCTTTGTGTGTGTGTGTGTGTGTGTGTGTGTGTGTGTGTGTGTGTGACAGGCTTTTTCAAGTTAGGGTATTATGAACAATTTGCCTCAGGCTGGCTTCAGTGATCCTCCTGATGGCTGTCTCCCGAGTAGCCAGGATTACAGGAGGGAACCACCAGCGCCAGACCTAGCAAGGATGTATTTGATTGTGATTTTACTTTCCCTGCTGTTTTAAATTACAAATGTTCTATTTTAAGGATCCCTTAAAACTAAACAAATGGTATAAGAAAAATTATGATTTAGTGTATTCATGTACAAAGCCAACTGTAATACTAATGTCAAGATTCATTCATTCATTTAGCCAAAAGTAATTAAGCATCTTCCATATACCAGGTACTCTTGGGTACTAAGGATATGTTGGTGAGCTTTCCAGTATTGTGATAAAATACCCGGGATTATCAATTTATACAGAGGAAAGGATTATTTTGGCTTACAGTTTTGGAGGCATGTCTGTGACCTGTTGGCCCTGTTGCTTTTGGGTCTGTTGGCAAGGCAGTACCTCATGGCAGGGAGTGCCTGGCAGAGCGAAATACTGCGTACCTCACGGCCAGGATGAGAAAGAGGAAAGAGAGGTCTAAGGTCCCAACATCCCCTTCAAGAGCATGCTTTCAATGACTGGAAGGCCTCCCAACATCCTATCTTAAAAAGATTCCACCGCCTCCCAATAGTGCCATGGCTGGGAACCATGGCCTTTGGGGGACACTCACCCAAATCACAAGCAGATGCACGGGACTCAGAATAGGGACTCAAAACTTTGTTATTTTTTTATTGTTTTGCTGAGTATGGGTACATTGTTGCATTTACAAAGGTTCTTACAATGTATCAAATACATCACACTTGAATTCACCCCTCCCACTGCTCTCCTTCATCCCCCCCAAATAAAATTTTGTAATTTTAAAAGCTGAGGATTTTTAGATACATTATTTCATTTAGATCTTATAACAGTTCTGCAAGATAGCTCTTATGCTGCTTTGTCATTATTTGGTGGTTCTGGAGGTTGAACCCAGGGCCTCTAGCATTACAGCACTGGCCCCAAGATAGCTAGTAATAGGCCTAAGTGAGGAGAGTGGGGTTCAGAGAGAACCAGGCACTTGCCCATGTAGTTAATGGAGGAAACCAGGACTCTAATCCAAGTCACATTGTGCCAAGCCCAGGCTCCTCCATTACATGTATGCCTAAACCCTCTTAGGTGTGGTTTAGCCACATAATCCAATTTTCCTCACAGGGTGCTCCTTGGAACACTGCTTCTGTGTAATAGTCAAGCATCTGGGTAAGGAAGAGCACCTTTGTCAGGTTGAATGGAAATTAAAAGGATATTGGGTACATCCCATAATTCTTAGGTGTAGAGTGATCGTTTCAAGGAAAAACTCTTCCCGAAAGAAAAGCCCAAACTCACACTACAGAATGCCCTGTGAGCAACATGCCTGTGCTCCAAATGCAAGAGTTAGGAGGGGAGGGTTTCTGGTTTATCCAGAGAAAGGCTGGCATTCCCCAAATCTAGGAAGGCTATTCAAAAGTTTATGGGCAGACAGAAACTGTGTCCAATAGTAGGTCATTTACAAAATGGCACAGAAACAGGAAGGTAAACAGATTTCTCTATTGCAAGTTCTCTTGGAGCACAAGGAATCTCCAAGAGGATGAATACACTGGTAATCACAGAGCCTTTATTTCTGTAGTGGGACAGAGAAAGTAGTGGTGGGTGGGCTGTATTATAAAGGAAGCTCTTTCTTCCTCTCCTGTGCTGTGCTAAGTCCCATCATCTAACTTTGAATAGCTCTTATTTCTCCGATTCCACTATCTCAACTGTAGTTCAGGAGTGGCCTCCGAGATCATTCATGTCTTTCCACAGTACTGGGGTTTGAAATCAGGCCTTTGTACTTTCTGGGCAGAGGGTCTACCGCTTGAGCCACACCTCCAGCCAGGTTATGGACTTCAGTCATCATCTCAAAACACAATCCTGGGCTGAAGATGTAGCTCAGTAGCAGTTCCTATGTGTAGCATGCACAAGGCCGTGGGTTTGATCTCCAGCAATGAAAAAAACCCACAACTTAAATCTAGACGTCACTTCCCTAATGCATGGCTTCCCATTGCCTTTGAAAACATCTCGTTCTGGTTCCTACATGCTTCCCTCCCAAACTGCTCCTCCTGTCTTTCACACCCACCAGATCTGTTAATCTTCTTCTTCAAGAAAACCTGTCTGGCTGGATCCTTTTCCCAGGGGTTCCAATAGCATCCTACTTCTACCTTTCATAGCACTTAAGACACCCAGTAACTAATTCAATACTGGCAGGTATTCCCCACTAGACAAGTTCTGCGAGGACTGACTTTCTTTCTCACATTTTCAATACCCAGCAAAATGCTTACCATGTACAGGCAGTTTATGAAGGCAATGCACGAACACACCTTGGAACTTTTAGTAACAAATAATCCTTTTCTTTTTTTGTTTCTCACCATCAGACTTGCAGACATCAACTGTAGACCAAAAACAGACTTTAAAGTTTGTGCTTCATGATGAAGCAGACAAGATGTCTTTCCTATTATACTTACGTTGTAGAAGCATAAAAAAGTTTAGAGTCTGAAGAAAAATGACTTGTTCCCATGGTTTCAACCCGTTCCCATGGTTTCAAAAAAGGGAACACTTTTTTGCCAATGAAGCAGAGCATGTCAGTGAGGGTTCTTAGCTCCATTGCTGCAAGAGCACAGGTCTAAGAAAAGAGCCCCCCAAAAAGCAGCACTGTGGAATGGGCATAGTGGAACATGCCTGTGGTCCCAGCTACTCAGGAGGTGGAGGTAGGATGAAGGTCTAAGGTCAGCCTGGGCAAAAGCATGAGACCCTAGGTGAAAAACAAACTAAAAAAAAATCAAGTGACTGGAAGTGTGGCTCAAGTTGTAGCAAGTGCAATTGAGTTCAATCCCCAGTACTGCCAAAAGAAAGAAAGAAGAAAAAAAAAAGGGGGGGGCAACACTGTCAGGTAATTGAAGCCTTAGTTTTCAGTGAGATTGCTTGAGTAGTTATCTAGTCACCCAACCACTACTTTAGGTTCCTTAATCATTTCCTTTCTCTCTGCATTTAATCCAGTATGCAGGAGTTACTTGGTTCAAAATAAACAATTTCCTCATGGGTATCTCAGTAAGATGTTGCAGTCTGCAAGTGATTTTTTCTTTTTTACTTTGATGATCTATTGTAACAACTAATCTTACTGAGCAATGACTCTGCAGCCAAGCACTGCTTTAAGTACTTTATGGGAATTGACTTTCAAGGAGACTGAATTATATCAATATAATCTGCCTTAAGTTAACAAAACTAGTAATAGCAAATTTGGGATTCAAATCCTGAAAATCTGACCTGTAAGTCTACAGTCTTGCTATAATAGCTCTGTAGAGTTAAGTTACACACACACACACACACACACACACACACACACTCTTTCATCTGAGTCAGATATGAGTTCTGATATCAGCTAGCTGTCTTAAATAAAAGTTGTGAGTTGTGAGTTCCTAACATAAGGTCACTTTACAAATGTGAGACCATTTTCCCCATGTGTGAAATTAGAGAACTGGATTACATCATAACTTCTTAACAGTGTGGAAGTGGGGAAGGAGGTGGTGGTGGTAAGAAACTAATGCAGCAAGAATCCTTGGGTCATTTCAGCCAGAGTAAAGGTGTTCTGGAAAACAGATGTTCTGGTAGAAGTAAAGTACAAGCCTCAGGAACTGTAACAGAATGTTTTTTCTTATAGTCAGTGGACTCCAAGTAGTCTTGCATCAGGACACTCCCTCCAAGTGCATGCAAAGTATATGTGTGTACACAGGCATATTTTTCTAGGGGAGAAAAGTCAAGGCTTTTATTAAATATGCAAAGGAATTCACAACTCTAAAACAACATGAAAGACTTGTAAAATTCTTCTTCAGTTTTCTATTCTTAGAGGAAACTGGTAATCCAAGTTTGTGAAGAGCAACATAAGCTGCATTTCTGATTAAGAGGCAAATGTTACTAGACTATGAATAAGATATTAAAAGTAATCATAGCTTAATAAATTGGGGTACCTACAATTGTACTTAACATTTGCTCTACTGAGTAAAGGAAAATATCTCATTTAGAATTAGCCTATATGATACACAGAGTACAATAAACCAAAGAAAAAGTCTAATCACTAGTTATATATAAAGTATTTATTTTTATGCACATATTTACCTACAAAATTTACAGAAAATGAAACAAAGCAGAATATATAGGATACCCTCTTAAGACTTCTTAGGAGCAGAGGGTTTTATTGCTGCAGTTCAAAGAATAAAATTTTATACATGTGAAAGCTAAGATGAACAAATTTAAGTTAAATGGCAGCCTTGTTAAAAAGTTTCTGTCCTATTATTGAAATTTCAGCTTTATGTTAAATCAAATGTAAAAGGTTGCTCATGAAATAATTTAAACCTTTTCAAAATCTTCTAATAAACAAGTAAAAGGCACCTCCAGTACTTTAAAATATTTACAGCGATCCCAATAGTTTAATTTTAAGGGCTATTATAATACACGTGGCTGTTATGCATACACAGTATGTCATTAACACTCTCTAATAGTGAGAATTGCAGACTCTAGTTTGTGGCATGGCTCCCATGTCACCCAATGATGGAGTGGGACGATCAGTCACACCAGGTCAGTACTAGTGTAAGAGCATGTCTACCACAGCGTAAAATCCAATTACCTAAAACAATGACCATCAAATTCCCAGACAATACATAATTTAAACTCGTACATTCAGAAGACTTTGGGTGTTCTTAAAATTCTTAAAAAACATATAAAGTATATTTAGCGTTAAATGAAAACAATGAACTAAATATAAGCACAATAGTTGCTGGAGTTTAGTATCTGGTTTAACAAAAATTGTTTCTCAAAACATCTATAATTTCTTACAACATAATGGAGATGAGTTTCCTCAGTCTAAGCGGAATCCGATGTTTTTCCTGCAGTACAATTAAAAGACGAGTAAGAATGAAAGGCACACATAATGGCCGGTTTTAAAGAGCTGTGGAGACGGCAAGTAGATGTTCTTGAAATACTGGTGCAGGAGAACGAAGTCCATACAACATTTTACTCTGTTTAACATTGGCATTGATTTGCTATTTACAGTAGTTTGCAAAAATACATTATAAAAACTGAATGAGGTTCGGTTTCTAAGTTTAACTTAGTAACATACATATATACTTCATCTGCAAAAACCTTTGCAGGAGCTGAAGTACTAAAGTGACACTAATACTGAACACAGGTAATCAAAGGTACCAAAGCACTGATAACTCAAGTCATCATCATCAAGATAATCTGGGTAAATATTGCACACTTCTTGTCAGTTGTTGCTATAACTTTCACATATCCAACTGCAAAAGGAATCCTTTATGGCTTTTTGCTGTATCACTTATTTGAAGAGAGACTGTTTTAGGTCCCATAACAATGAATGCAGAATGTCATTGAACGTGAGGCCTAGGTTTCAAAATTAGTTTCCCTGTCTGTAAACAAAGAAAACAATTTTTTTCAATACACAGTTCTATTAAAGATAACACCACTTGTTTATAAACTTGAAGGACATTTACAAGGAATCAGAATACTTCTCTGTATTTAGACAAGATTAAACAATAGTTAGGTTTTCAAAGTTTCATTTGTGTGGATGGAATTCTTTATTTAACATGCACACAGAACTGGGGATGTAATTTAGTGGCAGAGCATGTGCTTAGCATGCATGAGGCCCTACATTCAATCCCCAGGACCAAAACGAAAACTGACACATATAACACACATGCATCTTTATTTGAATTACCTGTCCCCTAGCTGCCTAGAAAACAGTCAAACAATACACTGGATAAAATAAAATTTCCACTTGTACAGACTTATACTCCTTTCTAAACAAAATTTGTAAGACATAAAACCATTTATCTGGGCAAAACTTTTCTCCTTTTCAACACAAAAAGGTTTAATTTCTTCAAGTTAAAAGTATACCAATAGCTGAAGCAATGAATACTCATATACTCCTGGTGTTCAGATTATGTTGATTAAAAGTATCATGTAGAGGTGAGCCATATTTATAAAAAAGAAAAATAGTTAAATTCATTCCATATAACTCAAGCAATTGTACTTCTAGGAATTTATCTGAAGGAAACTAGATTCAAGTGCAAGGATGTACACAGAAGTGTTATTGATGCATTCATTCAATATTTATTATGTACTGTATGCCAGATTCCTGTGTGAAGTGCTAGGAATCCAGTAATGAAGTACACCAAGCCCCCTACCTCCACAGAGCTTAAATTCTAGTGCAGAATGCAGGCAATATATACAGTATGGAAAAATGTCCAACAGGAAATTTAATTATGATACATCCACAAAATGGGACAATATGCCATTAAACAAAATGGAAGGCCTCAACTGAGATAATGCAGATAAAGGGATAAGCATAGGACCCCAATAACTGTGGCTCTTAAGTCCTAATATTGGGTCAAAGAAACAAGTTTGAAAAAAATCTGCTATGTTTTCTTTTAATATAAGTCAGTGAAAACACACAGCAAAATACAAAGCATGATGATTATCTTTGGGTGATAAGATTTTGAGTGTTTTAAGTATTTTTACCTCCAGATCAAAAGTGTCACCTGGATTCTGGTTACCTATTACTCACTTCTTCACCTAAATTTTGGTCATTTAATTTTTGCTAATTCCATGATATCTTTACAGATCTTTGATACTACTTATCCTACTGCTTTATTGAGCTATAATTTATATGCAAGAAAATTCTCAAATCTTGGGCTGGGGTTGCAGCTCAGTGATAGAACACTTGCTTGGACTGTGTGAGGCTATGAATTTGCTCTCCAACACCGCCCCCCCAAACAAACCAACCAACCCCTTGGGTTGAATTCTGTACGGTTTTAAGTTCTGATAAGCAACCACCCTGATCAAGCTATAGAATATCACCACCCAGACTGGGCACTGGTGGCTCACACCTGTAATCCTAGCTATGGAGAAGGCAGGGGTCAGGAGAATTGAGGTTCAAGGCCAGTCCAGGCAAATAGCTTGTGAGACCCTATCTCGAAAAAACCCAACACAAAAAGGACTCAAGCACCTGACTAACAAGCGTGAGGCCCTGAGTTCAAACCTCAGTACAACCCCCTTCCTCCTCAAAAGAGTATCGCTACTCCATTGCAGTCAACGGTTTCCTTTTTCACCTTCACAAGGACAAACCACTTATAGTTTGGCCTGTCTTTGATCTTTAAATAAATGAAGCCATACAGTGCTGTTTCTTTTGCTTCTGCTTCTTCCAACATGTTTCTGACTTTCCTTCATGTTGCTGTAAGTTTCAGCAGTTTGTTCCTGCTTAATATTGCTAGTATTTGTTCCTGCTAGTATTATGAATGTAACAATATTTGTTTATCCATGGTTTTAGTCTATTAAATTATATTAATAAGAAATTAATAGAATCCCATCATAAAATTCAAATGATACAGATAAACTAAAGTCACCCTTTCCAACTATCTCAAATTCTACTTTCCCTTCTAGTTCTGGCATGAATTCTTCTAGACCACTTTTATATGGGTTTATTTATTAATTATTATTTTCTGAGACAAGGTCTCACTAGGTAGCCCAGTCTGACCTTGAATTTGGTATTACAGACATGTGTTACCTTGTATAGCTCAAAACTTCTCTATTTTGAGAAAGGATTTTGCTATGTTGCCCAGGCCGACCTTGAACTCATGATCCTCTTGCCTCAAACGCCCTAGTGCCTGGTGTTTCTGGCATGTGCACGGTGCCTGTTTCATAAATGAAGCCTCAAAGACTGATTTTTGGAACAATGTGTCAGTATATTGCCCGTGCTGACCTGAACTTTCAATCCTCCCACACAGACTCCTTAGTGGGGATCATAGGTGTGTACGACATCAGGCTTAATTAAAACTTTCCAAGAATAAGGAAAAATTGCTCTCCACAATGGCTACACCAATTTATATTCCCAACACAGCAGTGTGTAGTTGTAGCTATTTCACAGTTCCGGAATTATTGATATATTTAGTTGTGTGTGTATGACTGAGGTTTGAACTCGGCTTCATGCTTGCAAAGCAGGCACTCTACCACTTGAGCCACACCTCCAGCCCAATATATTTAACTTGTGCCAATTAGATAGGTAAAGTATATGAAAACTCATTGTTCTACTTTTTCCTTTCCCCAATTGTAAGTGAAGCTGTTCAGTCTTACTTCTGAGAACTGGAGTCTCACTATGTTGCCTAGCCCGGCCTGAACTAGGTTTAAGCGACCCTCTTGCCTCAGCCTCACAAGTAGCTGGAACTATAGGTGCGTCACTATGTCCATCCCTGTGTCCAGTCTTTTTGTTTATTGGTCATTTATAGTTCCGATTCTGTGCTGAATGTATCTTTTGCCATTTAAAACATTTTTATTTTTTTTTTTGTGCTACCTCTGAGCTAGACTCCCAATCCCTAATGCTTTTTTTTGCTCTGCTTTTTCCTTGTGCTTGCTAGGCAGGTACTCTACCACTTGAGCCACGTCCCCAGTCCTTTTTGCTTTAAGTATTTTTTTTTTTTTAAAATAAGGTCTCCTATTTATGCCTGAGTAGGCCTGGACTGCAATCCTATTTACGCTTCCCTAATAGCTGAGATAACAGACGTGCACCACCATGCCCAGCTTTTATTGACTGAAATAGGAGTCTTGTAAACTTTTTGCCCAGGCTGGCCTCAAACCATGATCCTCCCAATCTCTGCCTCCCAGATAGCTAGGATTACAGCCATGATAAGCCACTTCATCTGGCCTTTTCATTTACTTTTTATTCTAATTTTATATAATGAATAGGTATCATGTACTTTTTTTCATTGAAGGTAAAAAGTTAGATAAGTAAGCAAATCAACATAAGAATAAGAATCAAAATTGAGACACTCTTATATTACACTAGTACATGATCTACTGTTAAAACACAGTAGGGTATATAGCCACAGCCCACAAAATAATCCGTGCCTTTATTTTACAAATGACATATGCGAAATACCAAGCGAGAAATAATAGCTTATAAAACCAATATCCACAGAGCCATTTTTGACCAATAATGACCCCCCGTATTTTCCTGAGTCTGAGATAGGGGCAATTTTAAAATGCATCATGATTTTATGTCATTAAGAAAGACTAAACTGCCCAATGCCAATTTGGCAATCAGATATGTAACTGCAAAGACTTTAAATGTAAAGAGATGTGTCTGAGAATCAATGTGGTAAGTGATAATCTACTAAATTCACAGAAAGAGTTTATTATTGATTGAAAAAAATGGTTTTTTTTTTTTTTTTTGAGATGGGGATCTTGATATATAGTTGAGGCTAGCCTTGGAGTGCTGGGATTATAGACATATACCACAACACCCGTTTCAAATGTCTATTTTTCTAAAACTAAACATTTCAGTTCTTTCACACAGGTCTATAATTTTCTTTTTTCTTTTTTGCAGTACTGGGGCTTGAACTCAGGACCTTCACCTTGAGCCACTCCACCAGCCCTATTTTTGTGAAGGGTTTTTCGAGATAGGGTTTTGCGCAAACCTTCTTTCTGATCTCTGCCTCCTGAGTAGCTAGGATTACAGTCATGAACCACCAGCAGCCGGCCAGGTCTATAATTTTCTAATAATAATAAAAAAATACTTACATCATCACAAGACATATTGTACTCTGCTAATACTGTTCGACATCGAGCGGCTATACTGAATAAATATGGTCAAAGGAAAATTCTCATTGCAAAAGTAAGCTTTTGTAACAGTTTAGATATGAATGTCCCAAAGGGCTCATGTGTTGACGGCCTGGCCCCAGATGGTGGCACTATTGAGGTAGCTGGATAAGGGCTCTAACTTTATCAACAGATTAATCCGGAAAGTTCACAGCTGAATGTGCTATTTCAAGGTGGGGCCCAGCTGGAACAAGTGGGTCACTGAGGGGGTGCCTTTGAAGGATATACCTTGTCCTTTGTCCCTTCCTCTCCCTGTTTCCCAGTCACCATGAAGTGAGCAGCTTTGCTACATATGTTCCCTAATGTGATAGTCTACCTCACCACAGCCTAAAAGCAATAGAGCCAGCTGACCATGGACTGAATCTTCTGAAATTGTGAGTCAAAATAAATCTTTTCTCCTTTAAGTTATTATTCTAGATATTGTGTCACGGGAAAGGAAACTGATTAACAACTACTTAGATAAATGAGAGAAGGTATTTTAGCTTAGTACAGAGAATTAACTCAATCAGTGGTAAAGGATACATTGATGGTGCAACTACTCTCTTGTGTATTCCAGCAAAGAACAAGCCTATTAGAGTGATACAGCTAATAGTGAAAAATGGGTGATTCCATAATGATGTGAAGAAGGACACCTGCAAAAGAAACGTGTAAAATATAAAAATGTTAAAATCTTAGAATACTGATTCCTACCTCCCCACTTATGCATAAATATATGTAATATATTTATCATTAAACTACGAAGACTGAAGACTTCCAATTCTATTTTTTTCCCAATTCTATTTGTATGCTGTAAAAATAACATATGCCTTATATATTTTATATATCAAAACAATATAGCAACACTCTTTCCATTCATTTCAATACTTGAACCATTACAAATTCATTCCTCTAATCAAAAAAAGCCCTACCAAAAAGAGTTACTGAACTCTGGGTTCAGTGAATGAGGATGAGGCCTCTAGTCTCAATGAAAACATAAGTGAAATGTGATCTAGTTACCTCACTGTCAAAAAGCTTCCTTAGTTGAGCTGGGCAAGTCCTGTCATTCATAACCTAATGCCAGTTCTCCTGTCATACCCCACACATATGCTACCTTTCCCTCTGGTTAACTCCTACACACAAATCCTTCTAAGCCTCTTCCTCAAAACAAAAAATGAACTGGTTTTGAAGTTTGGCAGCCATAGGCCATTCAAGCAGGGAAAAAATGATTAGTAGCTATCCATAAACAACTAGAATTCAAAAGAAAGAAAGGACTTTCTTTGGATCTGGGTGTAATGAAATGACAGTAGAAAACAACATAATATCCAATTCTAAAGTACAGGGACAAGAGTCCAGGATCCACAAATGGAACAGAAGCAAACACTAACACCAGACGGTTGAGGAATAGAAGCATAGACTAAAGAGAAGACAAGCATTTAGAGCATCTGAAGCCAAGTATATCCCCACTTCACGCTCACACCGAGAGATGTGTCATATTTTAATATAAAGAACTAACACACAAACATGTTTCAAGACAGAAAACAGTACCAGACAGACAGTTCAGCAAGGTCAAAAAAAGATATGAGAGGCAAAAACATCAGGAGGAAAAAAGCTCCCAAAAGGTGAGATCGTGAAGAAAAGAGTATCTTCTTAGGACCTTTGAGGACAGTCTAATTTCTACAAACCAGCTGTGTAGGCTACACAATACAGTGCTTTATGTTTTTGTTTTTTTCTTTAGAACTGGGTTTTGAACTCAGGGCTTTGCGTATGCAAAGCAGGTACTCTACTGAGCCACACCTCCAGTCTATTTTGCTCTGGTTATTTTGGAGATGGGGATTGGGGGGGCGTCTCACAAACTATTTGCCAAGGCTGGCCTCAAACTATGATCTTCCTAATCTCAGCCTACCAAATAGCTACAATTACAGGCAGTAAGCCTGGCTTTTAAGTTTAATTTTTTAATCTTTATTTTTTTGGTTTTTTTGAGACAGGGTCTTACTTCAAGGTTGGCCTTGAATTCTCAGTCTTTTTGCCTAGCCTCCTGAGTGATGGGATTACAGGCATGTACCACTGCACCCAGCTTCATGGTTTTGTTTTAATTAGGTCAGTTGGTATTATTCTCCTTTCCTCCATGGTAACAACCATCTGCATGTAAACAGCAGTGTCCCCTTTGATCAAGAGTCTGCAACATTACTTCTCTTTCTAGTTTCTTCTAGTTAGCCACTGGCTTCTGTGTTTGGAACCCCTACTTCAGACACAATTGCTGGTTAAAATTTCCATCAGGTTTGAGGTTATTACATACTAAAATAAAAAGAGCCAACCCTAAGGCTAATAGCTACATTCTCACCTAATTTAGAAAATTATATTAACTACACAGTTTTGGGCCTATTTCAAATTACATTTAATTCTGTATTTTATTAAGACCTCAACTAGCTGGAATCAGCTTATATTTTTCCCAATTAGAAGTCAGGCTCATTTCCCAAGGTAGACCTTTTTCAATCTTCTTGCCAGCCTCCTTCCACTGTTCCCCTAAAGATGAGTACCAAGTACAGCCTTCAGATCAGAGTTTTATAAATGAACACACAGGAGAGTTTTTTGTCTGATATAAAGACCCCTCTATTAAGATGAAATTCCATCACCAACCTCCCCAGCTTTCTATCCTTTTAAATCTTTCCCTCAGTGGATAGTCAGGGAGACAATATGCTAAATAAATCTCTGGCTGTCTGAATTGCCATCTAGACTGACGATAAAAGCCTTACCATTAATTTTTTCTTCTGTGTAACCTAAAAAGTGACAAGTGAACTACAGAAAGCAGTCTACTTAGTTTAAAAAGGGGAAAGGGAATTTTCAATTTGTGAAAATTATAACATTGTTATTACTTAAAGAAAACTGCACCAGGGAAAAAAGCTCCCTGAAAATTTTGAGACTCTTTAATAAAAAAAGGCTGAGTTTGAAATTAAGGCACAAGTTAGTAGAAAGAGGTAGAAATCTGAGAAACACTTTATATCTGTTTTCATCAAAGAATGCTTCAAGAAATAACAGTATGAGATCTGTTATTGCATTTGGAATAGTGATGTTCTTGCACAGTGTCCAATGGGAGAGCTCTTGGCATTTCCTATATTAAACTCCAGACAGGAAATTTCTTAAGATAAATGCTGAGAAAGAAAAGCTTTGCTAGCTCAAGGAACTGATACATGTTTTCTCTTCATAGACAATGAAAAGCACAGAATTAACTATGACTTTATTGATTAGGTTAACTCAGTGATTAATTTATGACTCAATTCTGGCAGTTGTGCTGAGCCACGTGGCCCATACACCAGTGACCTGGTTTTCTTCCTGATTTTTGATCTCTTGGTTTAATCTGTTACCACTCTTATTTTGCTGTTGTCATGTTTTCTGTAAAGTCATCTTGAATACTTTATGGAATGAAAAAAGATGTAACAGAGATGAATAAGAAAATACCATTTTATACTCTTTAAAAGCTAGTACTAATTACACTAAATGAACAAAGCAGAATGAAGAGAATGTTCGTGTAGAAATAAGCAAAAATGAGATATGTTAAAAAAAAAAATTAAAATCTGTACACAAATTCAGAAGTAACATTTCTTAGACCTTTTCTCTTAAAAACATAATTCCCAACAGCCAGCCAAAGCAAATGTTTAAGCAAGTTAATGTAGGGTATATTTTAAGTATTAATATCATTAGTAGTAGTTATAGGTAGCATTTGCATAATATTTACAATTAACAAAGCACCACTATGTCCATTATCTCATTTAATCTACTAAAGATTTTAAAATAAAATTTCTACCTTTTGTGTCTCAGGATCTATTAACCAGTTCCAGGCACCAGTAGCTGTACAGACAGAGACCACTATAAGAAGCACTGGCGAAAGATAAACATGAAATTAGTAAGCAAATATACCCTTCATATTTGATATACTGCCACCGGTTCCTAATAGATGACAGCAAAGAATACAACACTTTATTAAGTAGAAAATGCACTGAATGGACTCAAGAATTAGGAGACTTTGCAACATGACTGAGGAGTTCACGCAAACATTCAAAATCTTAGTAACTGAGGATACTGACTCTCCCTTGTTACTTAGTTAGCATGCATGAGAATGAAGATTAATTAAATTCAAAGCAAGAAATCACATGGTAAAACTTCAATGTTCTATTATGTAACTTTCACTGTGTTTTGAACTGATTTTGCAGATGTTATAAGATAAAAGACAAAATAAATAACCCTTCCCCCAAAAACCAACACCCATTTTCAAATGTTATCAAATCAAAGACTCCTTTTTAAATGTTCTGACAATTCTAACTAAAGGATTTTGCCATGCAGACAACTGCCTGCTGTTGAATTAAACAAAGGTCAGTGTTAGGAAATGCGGAGTCAGCATGGAGCAGACCAATCAGTATCAGATTTTCCTTAAGGGACTTATAAGTCAGGGTGGAAATTAGGGATAGTAGAACTTACAAAAGGTTTATTTCTCCTCTCTAACCCAGACTTTAGAAATTCTAAACAGATCATACATAAAACTGAAGAACAAATGGGCACCATAACCTAGTTAATATTCTGGAGATGAGGACAGTTGCTTCTATCACTTAGGATACATATATTACATGTATTTTTTAATTGTGGAGATCAAGTTTCAAAGTACACTGTAGCATCTGTGGAATTATCACAATGGAATATCCTTGCACTATTAATGCATGCTGATAAAAAATAAAGAGGGAAAAAAGAAATATACAATATTACATAGGCAACTTTTTAAAAATGAAGTAAATCAAAATACTAGAGGACCTCAAATATACGTTTTTATTTCACTAATACATTAACCAAACTGATGTCATTTATATGTAAACACTGTGATAAGAGTCAGAGGAAAAGTATGTCCATATTACACTGTATAAGATGGGGCAGGATCACAATTTGAAGAATTCTCAAGTAACAGTAAAACAAAGGTTTTAGGAGCAATTCTATGGTAAATCAATCTTAAAACAACACATATATTCTGGTCAATCAGAAATGACCAGATCAAAATTTCACAAAGAGATCTAATAAAAATTACACAAAAAAATCTTGATCCAGGGAAAAAAACCAAAAAAACCAACACCCCCCCCCAAAAACCCTAACTTCAACAATGCTTTTTTTGGTCCTGGTCCTGCAAACTGACTGACACTTTGAAATAAAGTTAATTTTTTATGCTGAGGATGTAGCTCAGTGGTAGAATGCTTGGTTAGCATGCACTAGGCCCTGAGTTTGATCCCCAGCAAAACAAACACACACACACACACACACACACACACACACACACACGAGAGAGAGAGAGAGAGAGAGAGAGAGAGAGAGAGAGAGAGAGAGAGAGAGAGAGAGAGAGATTATGTCTTTAATGTTTGCTGTTGTATTTTCAATGCAGCACCATTATGCTGTTATTAAAAACCAAGTAAGGCCAGACTTGGTGGCTCATACCATGCCTGTAATCCTGGGTACTTGGGAGACAGAGATGGAGAAAACAGAAGTTCCTCCCTTTACGCCAGCCCAGGCAAAAGTTCGCAAGATCCCATCTTAAACCAATAAAAAGCTGGATGTAGTGGGATGCTCCTGTCATCCCAGCTATGTGGAAAGTGTAAACAGGAGGATCAAGGTGCAGGTAAACTGTACAAACTCGAGACCCTATTCAAAAAAATAAAGGGCTGGGAGCACGGCTCCTGTGGTACAGCGCCTGCCTAGCAAGTTCAAGGGCCCAAGTTCAAATTGCAGTACCATGCAAAAAAAACCAAATTAAAATTAAACAGATAATCAACTAAGGGAAAAGGGTGTAACTTTTGCAAGTATACATTAAATATGATTTTTTTGAGTGTTGAATGGACGTTCTCACAAATGCTAAGCACCATGGAGCCACACCCCCTAGCCAAAATGCTTTTTCTTAAAAATTTTATTTCAAGGCTGGAGGTGTGACTCAAGCATACAGGGCTTGCCTAGCAAGTATGATGTCCTGAGTTCAAACCCCAGTACCACCATAGGAAAAAAAAAAAATCAAAATTTTATTTCAGTAGTTTGTAGGCAAATTGTAAAAGTGCTCAACAGGCTACTAAAATTCTTGTGTGTTATCAAAGTTATAATATTTAATAAAAACTAAAATATATATTTTCATGGAAAGTTAAAAATTCAACCATATAAAATATGTCATTCTTTTAGGACAGCCAGTTATAATATCCTTTTCTTAAATATTTCTTTGTAATGTGTCATTAACAATGTTAAATAAGTTTAAAATTTGTCTAAAAAAAGAGAAATCTTAAGGTTTAGTAAAGCAAGCACTTGTTAAACCAAAATCGTTTTAAATAAAAGCAAATCATTCCTACATAGGTTTTTTCTCCAAAAAAACCAACCAGGAACTTACTTCTCCAACGTCCTGTGGCAGGTTGCAAGCAATGAATATACTCAGTAAGTCTTCTCTCGAAAGCCTTGAGATCTGAGTAAGAAAAGATTTCAGTTCTCTAATTAGCCACTCTTACACGAATCACTGCACCATTTACATTGTTTACTATGACGGCTTTAAGCACGTGACAAGCACAGTAGGATTCTTTGTAATTCCCGTTATACATATAAGGAAGCCTGGCTTCGTTTTAGAAGCTTTAAAAAAAAAATGTCAGTAGAAAATAAGCAGCAACCTGGGGAGCACATCAAGCCGAGCTCTCATTCTGCTGAACTTGGGTTTGTCTGGCTGCAACTGCCCGCTTCCGGCTTCCGGCTCCGGGACTTCCTGAGGCTGATAACGGGGTGTCCCCTCCGAATGGTCACCGGGGATGCTGGTGGCACCATGGGTGCCGACCCCTTGCTAAGATCGGGGTGTTCAAGCTGTTCCCTCGGAAGAAAGGTGGGTGTCAATCCCACCGTGCTGTTCTTAAGCCGCGAAAGCCCCACAAACACTTCCAACTCCGACAGGTCCCAGAAGCCAAGGAAGGAACTGGGGTTACAACGCGTGGGGTCATTACAGCAAAACGAATCTGCATCCTATTTGCGAGGTGCAAATCTGTTCCCCATCCCCGCCAGAAGCCCTGCGAGGAGCTCCGCGGCCCGAGCAGGGGAAACGCAGAGAGAGGACGCGCCGCCATGGGCGCCCGGCCCACCGCGCCCCCCCGGCGCCCCCAGGCCCGGCACCCCACCTTCCCGGCCTCCTCCGCCTGTGGCGAGGGCTCTGCAACGCCGGCCCCTACCGAGCCCCGCCGGCTTCCGGGAGGAGCCCCAGGAGACGCACCCTACCTTCCGCCTGCTCCAGCGAGTTCATGTCGGGCGGCAACTCCAGTCACCGCCGCGGCTCCGTCCACATCGCAGCCCGCGGCCCCCGCCCGGCCCGCAGCGCCAACTCCCACCGCTAACCGCTCCCCTCCGCCCCTCCCCGTCGCTCCGCCCCTTGCTTAGACCCTCTGCGCTTATTGGGCATCTCTACCAGACCCCCTAACTAAGACGGTTTTCTATTAGCTAATTTTCCCACCAGCCTTGGGGGGGCCCCCCAGCGTTGGACGGTCAGCCGGAGGGACCAAGAACTACAGCCGGCCGGGCTGGCGTTGCGCTGGCGCCGCCTGCTGCCCTGTAGAGAAACTGCAGCCTGCTCGAGCTAGTTCCTTCATTCCTGTGCCATATTCTTAATTCCCTGCTAGGTTCTTTCATCCCTCAGTGATTGAGCACCCACTGCCTTCCGGGCAATATTCTGGTCGCTCACGAGGGATACAGAAATCAGCAAGCTGACTGTCTTCAAGGAACTCAAGGGGAGATACATACAGAAGTAGGTAGAACCCCAAATATTGAATTTCCTTAATTAGGATAAGCTTGTTCCTAGATACCTAACCCCTGAAGTATTTCTCTCTGGGTTATTTTCTTCTTTAATCATCCAATTTTCATAAATCATAAAGAAGGCACAGTGTAAGTCCCAATGTCTATAGCAAAAGATATATAAGGGTTTGGCTACATTTATAGTTAATTACAGTGCCTTATTTCCTTATGGTCATTCATCCATTCCAGATCTGTTTTAATGCATGACGTGCTAGAGAGAGAATTATGAGCAAGATAGACAAGACTCCTGTCCTTAAAGTGGAAGGAAGGGTTATAGCAGGCACTCAACATTTAAACAGGCAGTTGATCTCAGATCTGTGTAGTGCTGTGCAGGAGACACAGGGTAATGAGATACAGTGAAATGCAGGAAGGGTAGCAGAGCTAGTGTTCTGGCAGGGCCTCATGGGGCATTTGAGCTGAAAACCCCAAGATGGAGGAGAAGAATACACCATGCAAAGATGGGAGATAACATTCTAGGAGGCACTGGAACTTTTTCACCATTGGTGTTTTCTGCACTTTGTCCTCCTCATGTGCCAGCAGACTGAATTGACATGCTTCCTGTTACTTTGTAATTTCCTGAAACAGCACTTTCCAAAGTTTTCCGTTTAGGGACTCCCTCCCTGGATCAGACTCTACCTGTATTACCTCATTTAACCTTCCAAGAAGGTATTTTTTAAACTGTGGGTCAAAACCCAAGAGGATCACAAAATCCATTTAACAAGTTATAGCCGTTATTTTTTAAATGAGTTCAGCTAAAATTTAAACATGACAAGTGAGAATCAATTTTTTTCATGGCTTTTCGTTTCAGCCGCGTGTGTGTGTGTGTGTGTGTGTGTGCGCGCGCACATGTTCTGTGTTCTCTTCACAATGTGAAGCGTGTACCCTCACTGAGGGTCCAGTGCGAAAGGAGATGGGAGCCATCACATCAGGTCTGCATGGCCAGTTTTACAACTGAGAATGGTAAAGATGAGCTTGCCCAAATCTTGCACTGACTTCCCAGCCTGAATGTAAGCCCTAAGTCAGACTACACTTTTTGATGTCTTGCTTGGTGTTCTGTTGCTCCATCTGCAAGTCTCATTCATCTCATTTCCCTTTGTCACCTTGAAGTGCTTAGAGGGTGGCTACTGACCATCTGTTCTATGACAGCTCTTCTGGGCTAGCTGCTGGGTAGGTCAGGAGTTAGGCAGGCTGAAGAATAAGATTGCATGCATTGGGGTAAGTGGGAGATTTGCTAACTTGCTTTCAAAAGAAACAGTTTGCTGGATGCCAATGGCTCATGCCTATAATCCTAGATATTCAAGAGGCAGAGATCAGGAGGATCTCAGTTTGAAGCCAGCCTGGGAAGGTGGTTTGTGAGACCCTGTCTCCAAAAAACCCAACAGAAAAGTAGGGCTGGTGGAGTGCTCAAGTGATAAAAAGCGCCTGCCTAGCAAGTGTGAGGCCTGAGTTCAAACTCCAGTACTGCCAAAAAAAAAAAAAAAAAAGACAGTTCTGTTTCCTAAAGGGCTTTGATTTGCCTGAGTGGGCTGTGCAAGTTCCTAGACAATAAAAGGGAGAGAAAAGGCTGCCTCCTGGACACTTCTCTCTGCATCCTTCATTTTCAACTGTGCTCAAATAAATATTGAACGTGTCTTTGGAACAGTGCATAATTAACCTGGCATTGACTTCTATGTGAATGAATCATGGGACTTGAGGGGCAGTAAAAGAGAAGGAGAGGAAGAGAGAACTTCAGAATCAGGTTAAGGAATTTGGAAATTTTATGGGGGAAGACAAATTTGTAGAAACATCCTATTGACAGGATTTTGCAGGGAAAAGATAATAATAGTATCAAGGTACATGTTACAGGTGTGCTGTCACATGCCTGTAATCTCAGCTACTTGGGGAGGCAGAGATGGGAGGATTGAACTTTGAGGTCAGCCCCAGCAAAAGCTAGTATAAGGCCCTATCTTAAAACCAAGCTGGGCCTGGTGATTCACCTCTGTAATCCCAGCTACTTGGGAGGTGGAGGAGATGGGAGGATCCTGGTCTGAGACTGGCCAGGCAAAAGAGCAAGCCCCTACTGGAAGAAAGCTAAAAAAGCAAAAAGACTGGAGTGTGGCTCAAGTGGCCCTAAGTTCAGCCCTCTCCCCGATACTGCCAAAAAATGAACAAAAAATCCCACAAGCACTGGGGATGTGAGCTGAGGGCACAAAGATCTATAACAATCACTTCTGCTGTCTCTGGAGTTTAGTGTAAAAATAAAAGATGAAACACCAAAAACCTGAGACCTCAGAGACAAGACAAAGAACGGCTTCCAAGAGGGATAGCCAATAAAACAGCTAAACACTGTATCTTACTGGGGGCTGGCACTCTGCCTTTGATAGTTCAGGCGCATTATTCCCCCCTTTTTTTGAGGTACTGGATCTCACACAGGCATTATACCAATGAGCCACACCCCAGTCCTTTTTGCTTTAGTTATTTTTCAGATAGGGTCTCCTGTTAATACCTAGACCAGCCTGAACCAGATCTCCTCTTCAGCAGCTGGCATTGAAACCGAACTGGTTCGTGTCCTGGCTCATTCAATGATTGAAGGGGTTGGACAAGTCATTCAGAGTCATTCACACTGCAGACCAGGAGTTAAGATAAAGCCAGTACAAAGTTTATTGAAAGGATAGCAAAGCACCCTAATGGGTGGGACTTAGTGAAAGAGCTAAGACAAAGGATGGCTGGTGTTCATAAGATTAAATAGGGGCCTGACTTTAGGCTCCCCCGCCATTCTACTTTGAAGCTGAAGCTATAATTGACTATCTGATATAACTTCTTGCTGAACCTGACCAATGACTGCCCCCAATCCTTATCAAACTGGACATTCCTGTAGGGTCTGGTTAGCTCATCCTGGCCTTGGAAGTTTTCACAAGTCATCCTGGCCTTGGGGCCCAGTCCCCACACTGTGCAGCAGCATCTTGTTACTTTGGGGAGAGGCTTGTTATTTCTCTGAGAAGCTGTTGTTTCCCATGCCTCTTTAGATGTCTGCTGTCAAAGTGCTCTCTCATCCAAAATGGAGTCACCTCTGTCATTGCTCCCCTTACAGCATCACAGGCACGTGCCATCACACCCAGCTGTATTGGTTGAGATGGGGTCTTGATATCTTTTTGCCCAGGCTGGCATTAGACCTTGATCTGATTAGATCTACTTCTGCTTCCTGAGTGTTGGGATTACAGGCATGAGCCATCTTTAAAACTCACAGTGAGGGCTGGGGCATGGCTCAAGTGGTAGAACACCTGCCAAAGCAAGCACAAGGTCCTGAGTTCAAACCCCAGTACTGCAAAGCAACAACAACAAAACTCACGCATCAGCTCTATGAGGTATTATCAAACCCATTTCAGAGATAAGTAAATGAATTTTTAGTTCCAAACCCTGTAAGCTGGTTCTCTTTCCCCACTCCTCCATGGTACATCAGATCAGTTGGCTCTACTCTCAACACGTTTTAGAAATTCTTTCACTTCTCACCACCCCCATGCAGCTACTCTGGTCCGTGCCACTGTCCTCTGTTATTACAGTGGCCTCTGACCAGTCTCCTGTTTTCCCGCTTGTTCCGATTGCAGCTTGTGAAACACTAAAGATAGCATTACTTGTCAGCTTGGAGCCCTCTAATGGCTCCCCAAAGTGACCACAGCAGTGCTCTTCAGACCATTTTTTTGCTGTGTCTCATACAATAAGCTTGTTAAACTTTGTGCCTCCTCACACATTTTCAGGTGACATGTGAAACTTTCATCATGGTTTTCAATACTTGTACCAGATGTGGCTTCTGGTGCATTACAGATACTGACATTGAGAAATAAAGCTATGACATCATTCTTTCACAAGTGTTCAGTGACATCCAAGTGCCATGGCAGTTACATGTTCACCATCATTACTTTAGAAATGCATGAATCTCTCTTATAGTCATACTCAGAGAAGTCCTAAAAACTTAGTAGTCCAGGGCTGGCAGAGTGGCTCAAGTGGTAAGAGTGCCTGCCTAGCAAGTGCAAGGTTCTGAGTTCAAACCCCAGTGCTGCCAAAAATAAATTTAGCAATCCAAGTTCAGCAACACATAAAAAAGATTATACACCATGATGAAGTGTGGTTTACTTCAGGAGTGTAAAGTTGGTTCCACATCAGAGAATGAGTTCTTAAGCTACATCAATCGAAAAATCACAACAATCACGATATCACGAGGATGTCAAGAAATTGGGGCTGTCAGCCATTTCAGTATGAATTTAAGACAGTGAAGCTGCTCTGGAAAATAGTTTGGCAGTTCCCCAAAAAAGGCAAATGCACTGCTACTATATGAAGCAGCAAGTCCAGTTCTAGGTATTCACCCAAGAAATTGAAAACATGCCCATGCAAAAACTTATAAACACATGTGCATGGAAGAATTATTCATGCTAGCCGAAGTTGCTGGACACCTCAGTGTCATGTGGGTAAAATGTGGTTCCAATCTGTGCAATTAATTATTATCAGCAACAAAAGGGGATGGCGTTCTGGTGAACGTCACTAAGTGAATGTACTTGAGAACAT